AGAGGACATAAAGACAATTTTAACGCCTCCAGAATCGCCCCAAAATAGTATTCCAATCAGAAGATACAAATTTTTGATTACCCGTGCGACGGTTGACAAGCAAATAAATTCAGTATACTGTCTTCAAAGAATTAAAACTCCAGGAGATTTTATTCACACAATTAGCTTTTAATCTGAACATGAGAAATGATAAGACAATTAATACAGTTTCAATTCTCGAGGAATCCATTGAAAATACCAAATCAGATGAAAGTTACGAATTTCTAAACACTCAGTGAACAAATAACCAGTCATGAAGTCCAAACACCACTTCTGAGAAAACAAATTATTTGGAGACTTTATGCGCATAATTGGCCTTCGGCATGAACAAATGAAATAAAGAAAATACCGAGACAATTTCAATGTCTGAGGAATCAGCTCGAATAGTACGCTGATGACAAGTTGCAAATTTCTAAGCTCAAACCAGCAAAGACGCTGTTTCTGGTTCACACTGCCTCAAATTCACCGAAACACCCAATTCCTCCATAATTCATAGTGCATTAAAATACATGAGAGCTCTAATGAAGACCTTCTTGAGAATTTCTTGGATAACTTGGAAACTATGTAGAGCGCATTAAAACGCGGAAAACCTTAAATTTATATTTTTGTTGTACTGCTTGGTAAAACATTTGTCTCAGAGCTTGATGCTGATAAAATGCCTTGATCCCATGAGTATAGATACAATGACATGTATGCATGCATGTGGTAATGAAATATAATCCAATTAGAATTAAAAATGAAGAGGGAAAATTTTGGGGTACAACAACTACCCCTATTCAATCTTCTTTAACTAGAGGGTGAGATTGGCGCAAGCCTTTCGAACAATCAGGGTGGAAGAGGATTGAATATTTAATAGAACTATAAAATTTGCACTCTGAAGCCCAGTTGGATACTGTTTATTTTTTGGTTTTATGTATATATATTTTTTCTTTTTGCAGCAAGTGGTTATCAAGGATAAATGTATGCCAGGTCAGGGTAATCAAGGATAAAAGAGAGATTGTATATTAAGGAACTTGTGTTTGGAGCTGGTAGCAAACACAAACGATAGAGAATAATGAAGGAAGCCCTATCAAAGATACCAACGATATATGTCTTGAGGAAAGGACACATACGAAAGATATCGAATAGACATGCCCAGAGCTGGTAGCGGACACAAGAAAGAGACCAGATGAAAGGACTCTTATGAGGGTATCACATACATTTGGAGCTGGTAGAAAACACGTGACAAGAAAGAGAACGGAGGAAAGGACTTTACGGAGATACCGAATATATGTTCAGATTTGATAGCGAACATATGGCAGGAAGGAGACCGGAGGAAAGGACTCTAACACAAAAATATCATGAGTACACGTCCGGAGGAAAGGACATATACAAGGAGACATCGAATGTACATGCCCGAAGTTGGTAGCGGACATATATAAAAGAGACATGCCGAAGAATGCTCTAACAAGGATATCAACCTGTCTAAATTTGGTAGCAAACACTTAAGAAAGAGACCGGAAGAAAGGACTCTAACCAAGATATCACATATACATGTCTGGATTCAGTAGCATACATAAAATAGGATAGAGGTCAGAGGAAAGGACTCTAACCAAAGATATCACAACTATATGCTTGGAGTTAGTAGCGAACACATACAAAAGAGGCCAGATGAAAGGAATCTTCCAGAGATATCGAGAATATACGTCTAGAGGAAAGGACATATACAAGGAGAGAGGCTGGAGGAAAGGATTCTAACCCAGGGATATCAAGAATATACATCTGGAAGAAAGTACATATAACCAAAGATATCGATACTATATATCTGGAGCTGGTAGCAGACATATAACAATAAAGAGACCGAAAGAACGGAACCTTTAAACAAGATACCGTAACAACATGTTAGGAGGAAAAAACGTATGCGACAAAGACCAAATGAAAGGACTCTATCGAGGATATCAAGAATATATGTTCGGAGTTGGTAGAGAGCATATAACAAGAAAGAGACTAGAGGAAATGACTCTTTACAAAGATATCACGAATATATGTTTGGAGTTGGTAGCAAACATATACGAAGGAGATCAGAAGAAAGGACTCCATCAGGAATATCAAATAAGCATGTCCTGAGTTAGTAGCGGACATAAAATATAATGGGTATATGCCAGGTAAAATTAGACACATACAAACAAGGAAGAGACCGACTGAAGAAGGCTCTAACAAGGAATGCTAACCGAAGATAGATTCCCGGAGAAAGAACACCGATCAAAGGAGAACTTACTAAGGATAAAGTAGATATGTCTGGCCAGAGTTAGAAACATATAAGAAAGAGACCGACCGAAGCTGACTCCAACAAAGGACACTTGAACACAAGCGAACCTGCCAAGACAAAGAGGTTAGCTAAGGGTAAACTCTTGAGGAAAATGACTTGCTGGGGGTTCACATTTGTATTGAACTCGAATAGAATGTGGGTTGAAGGTGAACTCGCAACTGGAAAAGAGACCGATTGTAGGATTCTAGACAAAGATTACCAACACACGCTGGACTTTAAGAGGTTACAAAGGCGCGAGAACTATAACATCCCCCAGGCCAAAGGCGGGGTGTAATTCTTAAAGAGCGGAAATTATCTGAATTATCACACACCAAATATGGATACTCAAATACTTGAGAAATAAGAAAGGTTATACACCGACTCTTATTCACACTCTAACGGAAAAGCAAACATGGGTAAAATAACCAAAGGATTGAAAGGGCAAGGAAAAAACCACGAATCACTGGTGAAATAGAAAGCACCAAAGACCCGACTGGTGGTAAATCAAAGAGGCTCCGCTAGGAAAACTTGAAAGGATCAACCTAGGATTACTGTAGAGGTAATTCAAATTTAAGCGCATAACAATCTGGTTATTATAGGTAAACATAATTGGCCTATACCTATGCATGTTTGAATTTTTTTCCTGTTTTGGTAGATGAAATATAATGATGCATGTTTAGTGATGCACTTGGGAAAACACGGAAATAATTGACTACTAAGAAGACAAGAGGATTATGAACGATTATCCTTGAACATATGATCTTCTGTAGAAAATAATCAATCTGAACTTCAATGGGGAATCGAGATTCAGACCCATTAACTTTTTAAGATTAATACCACTGGGGAAGCAACTTCCTGGGGAGCAATACTGCAAAAATAAATTGCATTTTAGATAAAAACTTGAACTCTGATCTAACTTTTCGACTTCTTGGGGAACATATTCCTTTCCCTTTTGTTAGGATGAGGAGAGCTTCGTTGGGGATGGGAAATTTATCGCGTAGAATTTCTTGACGAAGATAACTTCTACTAGGGAATTAGAAAAAATCATACATAAAAATAATTCTACTCAAACCACATTGGGGATAACACCATCGGGGGTAAAAAATATTCACTTGGGGAAGAAACAGACATCTTTGGAACATAACTCCACTGGGGAATATCTTAATAAAATCTTCTATCACCGGGGATAAAAAGAGTTACGACTGGCTCTCCCATGCATACTGTTGTACTACAAAATTTTCCCTCCCATTTTCATTCAAGATGTTATCCTAGGGTTTCTCAAATACTCAAAAGGGCTCAGGGTTTGATCAAATAGATTCTCTTCCTAGGCATTGAGTCAACAATTAAGGTTTGTTATTTCTCAAGCAAAATTGAGTTTCCAAGGTTTCAAATGATCTTCATAGTTCTTCACATATTCTCAAGGATGTTCGTACCAAGTTTCAAGCCTTGTATCGCAAGTTTGCTCAGTCATTGGTTTAGATGACTGAAAATCAACCGCGTTGACCCAAAATTCAACCTTTTAAAGATCAAGTTCAAATGATTATAACCTCTCCATTATTTGATATTTTTGAGCGGTTCTTTTTGCGTATGACCCTTCTTGATGTCATCTTCAACTTCTCTTTACAAGTCAAGAGTTGATTATGTGCGAAAGATCATCAAAAATTCGAATACTTTAGAGGTCACTTTCTAGATTTTTGACCTAATCTCAAAGTAGTTGTGCCCAACTTCCACGAATCATCACGTCCTCGATTTTTAATATTTTGAGGAAATTCTTTTTTCAATTTGTAATAAATGACGTCATCTACAAGTTCTCTTCAATGATCAAAGTCAAATTATGCTTAAAAGGCTATGAAAGTTGGTGAAACCGTCTTGGGTCATTTTGTGATTTAGAATGTTCTTAACTTCTAGGTTTCAATTCGTTCCATAAATGTTTTTTTAAAGCCCTTGATTCACATTATGATATCATTCTTTGAGCAAGGTATCAAGTTCGAGGATTCCTTGATTTAATTGTTGCATTTCAAGTCACTTGTGTTCGAACATTGGCAATTATTGGATTAAAGCAGATTTTGACCAAAGATCTTAAGTTGCTTTGAGTTTCCATTGGAAACAATTTGAATATTCACACAAATAATGTCCATTTTCAAGTTTAAACTCCATTCATGTGGATGATTTTGAACCATATATTATTCAACTAGCCATCATTTCAAATTCAAGAATCAATTCAAGTTGTGGCAATATTTGAAGTACAAAAATAAAGCTTGTTCCTTACATCATTATTCCAATGATGGCAATGTTACAATTACAAATTGTTACAAGATTACAAGGCAAAGTTAATAAAAGCTTATCACAAATTAGAAGAGAACATATATAATTGAATTACACTTTCACTTCCAATCTTATTGAATTTCCCGTTCTGTTACAATAAATGAAAATTGAGTGTACACTTGAGACTTTATAAAGATGCCATGTTACAATTGCTATGACTTTTTGTCAATCCAAAGATACCTACAAGCTGCATAAACTTGTTCAAAAAAATAGCCATGCACTAAAAACCTGTTGTCCAAAACAAGCTGCACAATATCTCCAAAATCTGCTATTAAATAGCCCATGAATAGCCCATAAAACAATCCAACCTTAATGCAAAACAATAGCCCTGTTGCTGTCCCTAAATCTGCTACACATGCTTCCCAAAACCTGCATAGTAATGCCAAGAAAATCAGTCCAAAACCCTATCAATATTGTCCAAAAAAATTTGTACCAAAATAGTCCAACAATTGCACAAAGTTAGCAAATAAAAAGCTGCAATGGAAGGTTTGTTTTCAGCACACCATAACAGTTCAAAAATTTATCCTTTTCCCCCCTAAAAACTCATATGCCCCACTATAAATACAAACCTCTGCTCAAGCTATTGGGGGGATCAAGATACCAGAGTAACACAACAGAAGAACCACTATAAAACCACAACCTAAAACTCTGCTCATACTCTCCCAAATATCAGCTTAGATTGATTTGTACAATTCCCTCCTGACCTCAACCTCGTTCATAAACTCTTTCAGCAACTAGCCTTCAATCTATATAACCTCTCAAAGCTCCGATTCAATCCATATCCCCATAGAAAACATTTGCAGAAATAGAAGAAAAAGTGGAAGAATGAAGTGAAATCGAAAAAGATTAAGGAAGCATTTTGTTACCTGAAAGCTTGCTTGAAGTTTTTCCATACGCTTTTGTCAGTTCTAAAGGCTTCAACACGAACCAGAACGAGCCTCCATTTTGCAGGTTGGTATCCTCTCAATCTCCTTTATTCTTGCATCTTTTTTCGATTTTTTTTTATATTAGTTTGAACCTTAACATGCATGGATCTGAAATCTTTTGCATAACTTAATTTCAAGTCGAATCCACTTCTGATTTCTGCATTTGATTCGATTAAAAATGTATTATGAGCGAGTATGTGGGAAAAAAATTTGTAAATTAAAACGGGAAGATGTTAACTGTTACTCTTATGCAAATAAGAAAAAAAATAGAAAAAATTATTACACAAAAACTATAAAAATAGTGTTAACTTACCTATTTTAAACCTCAAAAAAACCTCCCTAATCAAATCGCTAAACGCAAATTGCTGCTCTTCCTCCTCTATTTTATCGGCTGAGTTACAGAGTTTTTTTCCTGATAGAACTACAGATGTTGGCCAAATGACATTTGCTTACAAACGACATGGTTCTCAAGTCCGCTTTCATCTCTGCTGCCAAACCACCTTAAGCTCCCCTGATCCGCAAATTTCTCTCAATTAACAGAACACCACTGAAACGAAATTCTCATTCCAAATCAGCAAACCTGCTTTCTCACATTACAATAAAACTCTAAAAAACACATCTCACCAAGATCTTTACTCTGTATACACAATCAACATACCTATCTCAATCGAAAGAACTCTTCAATCCGTCACCCAATCTTTATTTCACATGGAACCCCAACCGTAACAGTACCCTTCATCTCTTTCCGCTTTCCTGTTCATAATATTACCTCCGCCAACACCACCATCATCACTGACTGAACCCCTCCCCGCATCTGTCCAATGAAACCGTCAACCCCCTCTACACTAGCATTGCATCTCCCTCCCTGTGTCCTCCATCACCACCCAACACCAAAACGACCTTTGTATTCTCCATACCGCCAACACTCCCATCAACATCGTCCTCCGTTAACCGCAACTGCTTCACTGTCTCAAACCCTCCACCACCGCCGCCACAGTCACAAATTCATAATCACCGTGAACTTGATTTAAGATGGAAAGAAATTTGAAACGGAAGAGGTAAAAGGGACATATGGATGAGAGAGGAAGTTAGGATTAGAGTTGTAGTAGGGGAAGGTCGATTTAGCAGAGAGAAAGATGAATTTCGATGGAGAGGGAGAGTATTTGTTTTTGTTTTACGGTACATCATAGATATAAGATATAAAACACAATAATAATATATTAAATCCACATCCCTTCCCAAGACAGTAGCACATACGACGCTTCTTCTTTCCAACAATAGAGTTTCATTTTTTAGTTTAATTTCAAAATCATTTGGGCCTACCACTCATGAGTTAACCCGACCCAATGATCTTTTTTTTGTTGCTATTTATTTAATTGTTTTTTTCTGGACCAACATTCAGCTAGTCCACCCGAATTCCAGGCTCACACCACCTATTTTGGTTATTCCGCTGAAAATAATAATGGCCGAGCCATGACACCCTAAGTCCAACATTTTAATGCTACTTCACCCCCTGTTTTACTGTTTTAACCCATTATAACTTTTTTTAATTATTATTTCATCAAAATTAATTAGATTTTTAATTTCATTTTATGTTTTAACTTAACTTTAGGTTTCTAATCAATTAAAAAAAAATTAGGTTTAATTTAATAAAATTTTAAGTTAAAAGACTTAATTTTAGTTTAGATTTAATTTTATTAATCTTTAGTATTATTTTTTTTAAAATTTTATTAAATAAATATTTTTTTAGGGATTTTGTAAATAATTTTACTAATTAACTTTTTTTATTTAGTCTTAAATTGTTTTTTTTTGTTTAAATTCTTCATAATAAAAAAAAAATACACCAAAGGATATATATATATATATATATATATATATATATATATATATATATATATATATATATATATATATATATATATATATATATATATATATATATATATATATATATATATATATATATATATATATATATACATTCGATTTAATTTCTTTGTAATCAATTATTTTCTCCTCTAGAATAGGTTTTTATTTTTATTTAAAATTCCTCACAAACCAAATACCAAGAATTTTATTTCCATATTTTTACTTTGTTAAATTTTATTTCATAGATTGTTGTAGTTTTGATTAATTATTCGATTCGATTTGGTTGTATTGATTGTCTATTTAGATTTTTTAATCGCATTGTCGATTCGATCCATCCCTATTTGTAAATTTGTATTCCCTATTCCCAAGATCTCTGCAATAGTGTAGAATTTTAATTTCCGCAATTTATTGGTTTTCTTTATACTTTATAGTAATTAGGCGTGTATGGCAAGATTTAAAATCAATCGCTAGACGACCTTAATCAAAGACAAATTAACTCGAATCAAACACATTTTTCACACTCGCACCTCTAGGGTAATCTCGCTTGTTGCCTCGGAAAAGTAGTCATGTCCCTCGAATATGGGACGCTTTAGAAAATACCCTTCGATAAAAAAGACTGTATTCCCTCAATGACCCTTCGATGTTGCCTTCGGTAAAACGATCTTAGTCCCTTATGAAAATTGCTAAAGCGTCTCATAAGTTGTCTTCTATGACTATACGATGACCCGTGCTTGTCCCTTCATATCCAATGATAGGGCTTCTTAGCAAATCAATGGTAAGATAGCAACATCTAAAGGAAGAGGAAAAGAATAAAAAAAATTTGAGTAGGTAGAACGTTCATAGTTGCTTGCTCACAATCATTCTTCAAAACATCTTTCAAAAACACACCAACACTTTCAAACATGAAATATTTTCAAAAGTCAAACACTTTGTATACATTCTTATAGAGACGAGAATCGTTACAAAGTTCACCTAAACGAAGGCACTTTTAAAAAATACTTTCAAAAAACAATCACAAACACATTTCAAACAAAGAATTTCAAAGTGAGCTAGCAACTAAGACCCCGTAGATAACTACGGATGAAAAGGGTGCTGACACCTTCCCTTTTGATAACCTACCCCCCGAACTCAAGAAAATATCTCAAAAGGTCTTTTTTGTTCTTTTCAACCTTTCCTTTATTGGATAAAAGAAAAGTCGGTGGTGACTCTTGCTATCCACAACAATTGCGATAAAATGCAAAACACCCAAATCAGTTCTCCCACCGTATTACAGAACTGGAGACTCTGCTGGGGATGAAATACTTAAAAATGGGGTTACGTTAGAGCTAGATCAAATTTAATTGCTTTCATTGTTTGATTTGTTTGCTTTACATTTATGGGTCTTCGTTTAAGCTTGTTTTGATCCTCTACCCAGATTGGGGAACATCATTAGTTAAATAGCAAAAATTATGGAGACTGTACGGTGTAGACCGACATGGTTGAGACAATAGCTATGTCAGTGTGACACATTTGTGGGTACCAGTATCCCTTATGGAAAATTAAGGAGAATACGGGGCCGTTGTGTGGTGTCATGAAGCACTAACGAACCTTAGAACCTTTAATTGAACAACTTGGCCATTAGGAAGTAGTGAGATAGCCGGCTTTGGTGAAGTCTGAAGTTGGTTGATACTCGATACTACACTCATTGAGATTGGACTTTTGAGATATTTCGGTCTCTAATAAAGAGGCTTGCACTAAAACAATGCTCGATGAAGAAAGATCAATGATTTTGAGATCCCTTAGAACCTGATTACTTTCTAGGACAGGTTGAACCAACTAAACTTCAAGAGGGTACTTACCAATGAAACCTCATGCAAGCCTAAACCTAAGGACTCGTTTTCTTTTCTTGTGTATGTTTACTTGTACATAACATCATGACATCATACCATTGCATTTGCACTAACCATTTCAAGGACTTTGGGAATTATCTTTGTGCTGTTTTGTAGGACATGGCTTCCATGTGAAGAAATACCATCTGAATCAACCTTGTGAGAGTGCTTCCTCAACTCAAGGAATTAGCATCAAGGGTTTCCAATGATTCTCCGTTCACCAATAAGTACGATCGTCTCATCAACTTGGTTACAACAGACTTTGAAGAGGATATGGTACATGTGCTATTCCAATTCTTTGATCCTAAGCACCATTGCTTTACATTTCCTAATTACCAACTAGTTCCTACTATGGAAGAATTTTCTCAACTCTTGGGGGTGCCTATTCTTGATAAATTACCCTTCACCGGTATTGAAAGAGACCCAAGACCTGAGGAGATTGCTCGAGCTTTATATTTGCAACGGTCTGACGTTGTGGAAAATTGGGAAATGAGAAGTGGTGTTAAAGGGTTTCTAGCCAAATTTCTGTTTGAGAAGGCTCAATAATTTTGGGAGCCTCTGGATTTGCAAGCTTTTGAAGAAGTGGTTGCTTTTCTAATCTATGGGATGGTACTGTTTCCTAACCCAGACCAACTCATAGATGTGAATGCAGTCAAAGTTTTTCTATCTCGTAACCTGGTGCCTACCTTGCTTGGAGATATCTTACATTCTCTTCACACTCGCACCATGAAGAGAAGAGGAATTCTTATGTGTTGCACTCCTTTGTTGGCTAGGTGGTTTATTCCCCACCTACCTCGATCTATTTTAAAGAATGAGCAAGGCATGAGATGGTCTAATAGGTTGATGTCACTCATGCATTCAAATATTCATTAGTGTTCTCGATCTTTGGAAGACGTTATCATCATTGATCGGTATGGGGAATTCCATATTGTCCCTCTCCTTAGCATTAGGGTAGGTATCACCTATAACCCTTGTTTGGCTTTGCAACAGTTTGGGTATGCTAGGAAAGATGGTCCTTATGATGCACTTGTCCAAGGAATTTCATTTGACTATGAGAACGATGTCCATGGTTATCATCACAGATTCATACAAGCTTGGGGCATAGTGAACAAAGATGATAGCAAAACATTGGGGCATAAGAACTCCATTCCTTTGGAGCCTTATCTCAAGTGGGCGCGAGCTCGCGCTCAAAATATCATGATGCCTTATGAGGCCATTCTACCTATCATTATGGAGCCTATTTCCGAGGGAGACGTTCCTTACACTATTCTTCATCCTGACATGATGACTACTCTCGAGGAGTTGCAAAGATCAAGGATTCAACTCAAATGGGTAGCGAGACACCTTTGAAATCCGTTTATACGCAAGCGAGAAGAAGGTCTTAGAGATCACGAGATAACTTCATGAAGAGCAGAGTTTGAATGCTTACATTGCACCGAAGAGGATGCGCTCATGGGAAGCTTGAGTCTTTTTTTTTGTTTTAGGAGTTTATTTTGTAATATTTTGTTTCTTCCATTGTAAGCCCAAGAGGCATCTTGTAACCGTTTGAACTTATTAATGCAATTAATGTTTGTTCTCTCTTTGTCTAAACAAATTTAAATCTTAAAAGTCCTTGAAATCATTTGCATACGCATTCCATGCATCATAACATAAGCAGGTTTTCAAGCATAGGTTTCCTCATCTTTCTACCGTTTATTTCAGTATGATGGATATCGAGAAAACTGTGAAAGACTTGCAAAAGCAGAATTCTCAATTCCAAGAAACCTTGTTGACCCTGGCCAAAGGACAATAAGAGCTGATTTCACTTCTGGTGGCCAAAAAGAAGACCAAGAAGAAGGCACTGATTAACTTGGGGAAAGGGTTTAAAGGTCTTGTCCGTCTAGTGCAAGTAGTTGAAGAGTCATCCAAGGAAGACAAGAACCAGGGTGAAGACGCAAGGAGCACCCGTGCTGTGGGTGAAAATGATCAAGCATCTGAGGATGAAGACTACTTTGATGAACAGTATCCACCGGCTGAGGATAAATACAAGCAACTGGAGGATAAGCTGAAAGCTATGGAAATTCAAGACGTACCTGGCTTGGATTTTGGTGATTTAGGCTTGGTACCTGGGGTTGTCATCCCACACAAGTTCAAAATTCCAATCTTTGAATAGTATGACGGAGTTTCATGCCCAAAACTTCACTTGAGGTCCTACGTTCGCAAAATACAACCGTATACCACTAACAAGAAGCTATGGGTACATATCTTTCAAGAGAGTCTATCTGGGACTCATTTAGAATGGTTATACCAGTTGG